CGCGGGAGCCCCCGCGCGCGGGGTCCGTCTTGCGCTCCGGCGCAGAGGCTGTGGCGCACCAGGAGCGTTCGCCTCGCCGTCGCTCATGGGCAGCTCGCGACGATAAGCGGGAGAGCCGCCGCGATGATCGTCACGGTGCGGCCCGTTCGCCGCTGTCGCCTCGTTCGCCTCGTCGCGTGGCGTCGCGAAGCCGATCCCGTGACCGCCGTTCGCATCGTCATCGTTCGCCCCCTCACCGTTCATCTCGCCAGCGGTCGCCTGCCCGCCAGACGTCTGGGCGTCGGCCCCCAGCTCCGCGTTCGCCCCCTCCTGCAAAGCGCCAACGGCTCTACTCCCCTCGTCGCGGGGACCGTTTTCCTGGCCGCCAGCGTCAGCAGGGCCCATCTCGCCCGCAGTCGCCTGTGCGCTCGAGCGCAAGTGGGCGTGCGCGTCGTGGGCGACGGGGGGGTGACAGTCGCGGCGGAAAAGCGCGTCCAGCGCCGTCCGCAATGGAGCGCCGTCTTCTGGATAGGCTTGATGACGTGGAGAAGGAGCTTCGTCGCTCGCGTGCGGGGTCGGCGTCACCATCAGCTCCTCGCGCTGCTCCCGTCGTCCCTCTCTCCGCGCTCCTGCCCCACAATCCCTTTGGATCCCCGGCGCGTTCAGAGCGGCCGCTGCCTGCGGGGATGGGCTTCGTAGGTGCTGGTGGCGGGCCGCCGTGGGCTTAGTTTGCTCCGCCGCGTCCTCTTCATGCTCCGCGTGATCTCGCCGTGTCGTCTCACCGTGCCCGCGCGTCTGCGTTACTTCCGCCGATGAAGGAAGTTCCCACGGCGACCCTGGCCCGCCTATGGTCGCTGGCGGCGTCCCTGCAGAGCCTTGAGCGGATTCTCCAGGAGTCATTTGACTCCATGCCGGTGAGCCCTCCGAGCAGGTTCTCTCAGAAACCGCGAGCAGATTGTCATGCGGCGGCGTCAGCGCTATTCGCGCTCGTAACGCCACTGCAGGTAGCGCCCTCGCCGGGAGCAACCTCTTCCAGCCAGCTGGCTGACTCGGCCCTGGCTCTGAGGACGCTTGTAGCAGGCCCTTGTACTCCTGTTGACGTTGTAGGCGCCACCGTGTCTGTGGTCCGCCAGTTGTGGTTGAACACGAGCGGAATGCTCGCTGCGGTAGAGGCGGACCGCATGTAGGCGCTCCCCCCTTGTGCGTATAGACCCGTTCCATCCTCTACTTGCTAAGTGTCTATGCTTACTTTGTTTGTATCGGTTGCCTAAGCTACTACTGCTTGTTGTTTCCCCTTGCCATCCCTAACGCGCGGCCGAAGGCCGCGCACGTGAGCGCCGGCGGCCTTCGGCCGCCGGCGCGAAGCGCCAAAATTTTCAGCACTAACTGAAAGAATGAGAGATGGAGAGGCCGCCGTGGCCTTAAGTAGTCATGGCAGAGGGCAGAAAGCAGAGGGCAGAGGGTAGAAGGGGAGAGGCTAATCCTCTCTCTCTCTCGCTCTCTCGAACAACACCAAAATTTTCAGCACTAACTGAAAGAATAAGAGATGGAGAGGCCGCCGTGGCCTTAAGTAGTCATGGCAGAGGGCAGAAAGCAGAGGGCAGAGGGTAGAAGGGGAGAGGCTAATCCTCTCTCTCTCTCGCTCTCTCGAACAACACCAAAATTTTCAGCACTAACTGAAAGAATGAGAGATGGAGAGGCCGCCGTGGCCTTAAGTAGTCATGGCAGAGGGCAGAAAGCAGAGGGCAGAGGGTAGAAGGGGAGAGGCTAATCCTCTCTCTCTCTCTCTCTCTCTCTCTCTCTCTCTCTCTCTCTCTCTCTCTCTCTCTCTCTCTCTCTCTCTCTCTCTCTCTCTGGACTCTACATGAGCTCAGCTGCCAATGCGCCCTGACCCACCGCCGCCATGCGCCTCACAGGAGCACGTTTTGTTTGGGACGTGAAACGTTGGATGCAGCAACACAACAGAGTGGTGCAACGACAAGGGCGGGTGGGGGCAAGAGTTTAGTGCAAGGGTTGAGTCGGGAACTTAGCAGGATTCAGAAGCTGCACGTAGCTTTCCGCACGTCGCTTTCCGCTCGCCGCTTTCCGCACGTCGCTTTCCGCTCGCCGCTTTCCGCACGTCGCTTTCCGCACGCCGCTTTCCGCACGTCGCTTTCCGCACGTCGCTTTCCGTGCTTCGCTTTCCGCACGTCGCTTTCAGCTCGTCGCTTTCCGCACGTCGCGTTCCGTGCGTCGCTTTCTGCAAGTCGCTTTCCGCGCGCCGTTTCCGCGCGCCGCTTTCCGCGCGCCGCTTTCCTCGCGCCGCTTTCCGCGCGCCGCTTTCCGCGCGCCGCTTTCCGCGCGCCGCTTTCCGCGCGCCGCTTTCCGCACGTCGCTTTCCGCTCGCCGCTTTCCGCACGCCGCTTTCCGCACGTCGCTTTCCGCACGTCGCTTTCCGCACGTCGCTTTCCGCATGTCGCTTTCCGCACGTCTCTTTCCGCACGTCGCTTTGTAAACGTCAGCAGCAACACTCGCAGTCTTGGTCCCTTGTCAACAATCGTCGCTTCGATCGTCATCGTGAGAACTCGCAGTTTCGATCATTACCGTGAGAAGTTGCAGTCTTAAGCGTCACAGCCAAAACGGCTCACTTCTGTCGTTACTGTGACAAGAGTATTGATTGTCACAGTTGGAAAGCGTCGCATCAGTCGTCACCGTCAAAAGTCACCGCCTTGATCGTCATAGTCAGAGAGCGTCGCATCAGTCGTCACCGACAAAAGTCGCCGCCTTGATCGTCATAGTCAGAGAGCGTCGCTTCAGTCGTCACTGCGGGAAATCGGTCTCTGAACTTCACCGTCAGAAGACACGGTCGTTCGTCACCGTCAGAACACCACCCTCTCTTTGTCACCGTCAGACGACACCGACAACCGTCACCGTGAGAAGCGGCCGTGTCGTTTGTCACCGTCAGAGAATACCCTCTCAGTCACCACCTTTAGAAGACGCCGACTCACTATTCGATGTCCGAAGTCCTCGCCGAATCATTTGGCGTTGCCTTCGCCATCTAAAACAGCTGTCGCGAGCAGGGTCGACAGCTGATATCAGCGTCGACCATCGTCAAATCGAATTGTTACCATAGCTGCTTCAAGGAACTAATGGAAAGCTTCAAACTATTTCTAAGGCTTTTCGACGAACCGTCATTCAGCGAACCCCTCTCTCCCTAAGACCGTCAGGAAAGCTTTGAAGTCCTAGGCAGAGTTGCCATGAAATACTGGAGCCGAGATGCCAACTGATCTAAGACAGAGGGTCATTGTTAGATCGTGGGATGCCAATGGATGACAGCCATGTACTACGGGGAGAGTTCCCTCACGGATTTCTAAGGTCTATAAATGATGCTGCTCCGAATGACTAGAATCGTCGTTCTATAAGCTCTAAATGTCTCGTGCGACTAGAGCAGGCATAAGAACTGAAAATATCACTGCGACTAATCGTTGGTCTCCGTTGGAAAGGGAGACGTCAGCCATTGGAAGGATATGAGCTCAGCCTTGATGAGACAATGAAGATAAAGATCTCTGGAAAATACGATGGTCACTACGAAGGACACTAGGATTAAGATTAGATTCTATAACTATTCAATGGCTGGTGATAAGATGTTGACAGCCATAGGAAGCCTAGTGTCAGTGAGTCGGTGAACGGACTGCTGTGACCATGAAATGCATAACTTGAGTGAGGAAAACATAATTTCAGAATGGTGTAGCTGAGCGAGAGGTGTTCAGTGGTGCAATTTGGGACGATTAAGAACGGTATACGGTAGATCACCAAAGCTTGTGTTGTGGAGAGGCAAGGCCGCAGACGAGAACAAAAACGGTGCTCTCCTTCCAGTGGTCAGGTGAAGGCCGCCATACCCTCGGCAGACACTGCCAGTCGTGAAGCGAGCTTTGACGACAAGCTTTTCCAGCAAAAATAAGGATTTCGCGAGATTGCGGAATTCGCGAGATTCGCGAGCAAAGTTACAGTTTTACCGAAGCGCGGAAGATTCTTGGCGCGGGAATTGTTTGAAGTAGAGCACTCTGACAGCCCCCCATGTGATGGCTATGCATTTGAGCATTTTGTTCAGCTCTTGTTCTCCGGTAATTGCTTCATGTTGTGTTTGGTTGTCCAGAAATATCATATTTCAGTATTTTTAGGTGGTGACAAATGATTGGGCACCTATGGTTGAGTTACACCATCAGCACTATCGCTACAAGAATGTGGTTGGTGACTCAATTAAGTGCACTCAGAGGGCTACAGTCACACATTTTCCTAGGGGGGAGTTCATCACATCATCACTCTCGTTCATGCTGCCGACTTCCAAGCCTCTGGCCCTCAGCCGTTCGATCAATCTAAAGTCACCAGATTGTTTGAATGCATCGTGTAGAATCCATGGCCACGATATGGGCACCTGTCAGAGGCACGCACTTCTTGGGACCAGTTCCCGTGCAAAACAATCAAAACTGCCAGATTTTTCGCGCTTCGGCGAAATTGTGTAACTCGCAAAACAATCAGAATTGTTCATATCAGAATGCATCTAGCAACCCTCCGCAATGAACCTCTCCGCCTTCTCCGCCTTCCGGCGGCCATGGATTCTGCCGAGACAGTTAGCGTCCTCGCTAAGAAGCCAAGGAATAACATCAGCTTATCATCCGCGGATCGCTGTTAACATACACTTCGGAAAATCGGTCATTTATGCTGACCTTGGTTTCTCCTGTTTCCAGCTTCCGGTCTCTGAAGTTGTTCAGGCATTCCCAAGGCGCTTACAAGCTACTACACTGTTCTCGCTTCTTGTTTTAAACAAGGATTCATCAACGCCTATCTCGTTTAACAATGATGGAGCTTTCAAGGATTCTACATCGAGATTGCATTGTCATTACCTCGAGACTTTGGAGCCGGACAAGTCCAGTTTCCTACTTAAAGGTCCCGTGCTCAGCCATCAGGCAGATCATTCTTCAACAATAGCTTTCTGCTGTCCTCAGATCTTTTCTCTGCTGCCTCGACTTCTTCATTGCACGATGTCTCATCCTAAGGGTCTGCGCTTCAAGCCCGCGGCTAATTCTGCTGGCTCCGTCGGCGTCAACACCGCATCTGATCCGCTGCTCAAGCCTGCTAACGGAAAGAAGTCAGGGGGTGAAGAGATCAGTTCGCCGTTTAACAAGCTCGCTGGCAACATCGACTCCACTGCAAGCGGATCTGGACTCTCTGCACAAGAGAAAGCTTCTACGAAGGCCATTGCTAGCGGCTCAGTACTCACTGACGAGGATGGCTTCTTGGATGATGACTTCGACGACGACATGGTGGTGGATCTGGACAAAGAAGCGTCGACCATGCTGCGCTCCACAGCCATCCTGCTGATTCCTTTTGTTCTTGCACAAGAAATTTCGTGCATTATCGATGCGGTTAAGATGTTGATGAAGCGTGGTTGGTACTCTGAACTCTCACAGAACGTGCTGCAGACGGTGAAGTTTCAGGTTCTTCAGCCAGCTTACATTGCGAAGGTCCGCTATTGTCGGCTCCAGGCCTCCTTCATCCTGGAGTCAGATGCGGTTTGGGTGGCAAAGAAAGAAGTGGTTTATCAAGCGCTCAACGGCAAGCTCCACAAGCTTCACTGGCAGCGTCTGGAAGATGCTGTGTTCAACCGCGAGAAGTCGCTGAACCCGCACGCCATTGAAGTCATCCTAAAGGGGGTGTCAGCTTCGGTGGAGCTGAGCATGATTCATGATTGGCTGGCGCTGTACAAGATTGCGAGCTGGGATCGTTCCGCCTTTCTGCGCTGCACCTGTCTTCACCGTGTTCTTCACCCGGTGACAGGTGCGGACACCGATGTTGTGAAGGGCTTGGTCTACCCGCACCCGAACGACCTTCACCGCCGTATTCACGCTGTCCCTGATCCGGCCGACCGCGCGAAGAGGCTGCTCGTCCATTATCCTTCGCTCTCCTGCTCGCTCTGCGGGGGTCAGCATTATGATAAGTATCATAATGCTTTCACCACTGAGCGGCAGAATAACGTAGGAAAATGGAACTTGACCTTACAGCTTAACAATAATGTTACCTTACAGCTTTTACTTACCCTAGAAGATTCCGACCCGCTTTTCTCTGTCTCTTACCTTACTGACTCTCTGGCTGACTGTTGCAGCGGCGTCCTTGAGCGCTTCCACGATAGTCCTCCCCCTGCTCCGCGATCCTGCACTGGCTCTCATCTCGACTGGCAGCTGCAGGGAGGAATGGATTTGCGTTCAGGAGGGTTGCGGAAAGGCACACGGCAAGATCTTTATGACAGCTTCGGAACACATTGCAACTGCGGCTCACATGTTGCATCTGGAGAAGCCGGGTGCTGCAACCAAGCAGTCGCTCGAGAGGACGAGCCTTGCTGTCATTCGGAAGGAATACGGCGTCTAACTGACCTGGAGTGGAGATTGGATGTTGCTGCCAGTTGGAGTCTAGGAGTCAGGGTTGTCTGTGTTGTAACCTTTACCAGCCTGTGGATGCTAAGGGGCTGCAAGGCACCGGACCCATGAATCACAAAAATCACCTCACCATCGCGGGCCTCAATGTTAACGGCCTAGGAAACCGAGACAAACGTGACCGTGTAACTAGATGGCTTCACTCAACCAAAGCAGCTGACATCAATGTCTTAGCGGACACTAGAATAGGACCGAGCCATAGCTACTGGACAACCCTCACCGACACCACAACCATTTTCTCTTCTTACCTCACACGCGCTGGTGGGGTCGCCATCATTAGTAGGAATCCCGCTGTTACCTTTCATGACTCCCTTATTCACCCCTCAGGTAGACTGATTAGAACGACAGCTAAGTCTCCCGGTCTAGATCTCACCCTTTTAGCTGTGTACTTCCCTTCCGATCCCACCATCAGATCCAGATTCATTCATGACTCTTTAGGTCCAGTAGTTGATAGCATCCCTCCCACCGAACACCTCCTGCTGATAGGAGACTTGAACATAACAGACGACCCGAAGCTTGATAGGACATCCGGTCAGGGCTCCTCAGCCGAAAACGATAGACTACTCTTAAGATGTACCGCCTTCCAACTGTCAGATGCCTTCCGCACCCTGCATCCAAGATGTAGAGAATATACCTTTTACTCCAAAGCTCAGAAAGCCAGTACCCGTATTGATCGCGCGCTTCTGTCTCAGTCGCTTCTACCTTTCTTGTCAGCCGCTTCGCATGACAAACCTGACGAACCAATCTCTGATCACAGCTTCGCGGTGAAAGTCGCTCTTCGCCTGGACGCAAAAGTCTGTACCGGGCCGGGAATGTGGAGAATGCATGCCTCAATGGTCCACCGGGAGGGAGTCCGGAATATCATTGAGGCGACGGTGCGCAGGACGCCTGTGCATGACGGAAGCAGCTTTGAATTGCTCATCACGCGCCTGGGAGCGGGTCTCAGAGCATATGCAAAAGAGGAGAGTAAAAGGGTCAAGGCAGCATTGGCACATTTAACCAAAGCGGTTGCTCAGCTGACGCAGGAGGCGATGGGGGATCCTGGCTGTCTCGCAAAGAGAGCGCTCCTAGACGCGAAGGAGCTGCAGCTGAAACAATACCAAGCGGCAAGGCAAGAGCGTCTGCACCTGCAAGCTGGGCTGACGGCGGAGATGACCGGCGAGATCGCGTCAAAACATCTGTCGGCTAAGGTCCGAGCGAGGAAAGCAAGGACGCAGATTACGGAGCTGAATGTTGGTGGGGTGGCGGTCTCGAGGCCCAAGCAAGTCCTTGGTGCAGCCTCGTCCTTCTTCAATAACATCTTCGGGAAAGACCGGCGCACGGATTTCGACAGCTGGGAGATAGACCCGAAGCGGCGCCTGGATGAGGGGGTCAAGGCGGCGCTAACGGCAGAATGGACGGAACAGGAGGTTAGGAATGCTTTCGCCGCGATGGCGAAGAACAAGTCCCCGGGGAGCGACGGGCTTCCGAAAGAGCTTTTCGAAGCACACTGGGACCTGCTTGGGGGGAGTTTCATGGCAATGGCAAGAGATTTCGAGTCATCAGCTTCCCTGCCGGCGGAGACAAAGGAAGCAGTGACGATTCTCCTGCACAAAAAAGACGACCGCGATCAGCTCAATAACTACAGGCCCATAACGCTGCTGAACTTCACTTACAAGGTACTGGCGAGAGTGGTGGCGGACCGGATGAAAACGGTATTGCATCAAGTGAATTCTCCGGAGCAGTACGGTTTCCTCCCGGGGAGGCGGCTTTCTGATGCGGTGGCGCTGGTGGCTGACATAATAGATGCTGCAAAGAACGGCAATGAAGACTGGTACCTCCTCCTTGTTGACTTCCAGAAAGCCTTCGACTCCGTGTCCAGAGATTTTCTCTTCCAGGTGCTGAGGGGGATGGGGTTCCCACCGCGGTTTGTGGAGCGGATTGAGGGCCTGCATGCAAACACATCTACGAAACTCTTGGTCAACGGCTGGCTTGGAGAAGGACTGGAGGTGGTATCTGGTGTAAGACAAGGGTGCCCGCTCGCACCTTACCTGTTCCTGTGTGCGGTCGAACCCCTGGCGCAGGAGATAGAAAGGGCGAAGCTGGGGCTGAGCAAGGATGAGCAGCGGCTAAATTACCTGGGGTATGCAGACGACACGACCCTGGTCCTGCAGGGGAAAGAGCAGATCGTCAGTGCGGAGAAAATCTTGGACAGGTTTGAAAGGGTCTCTGGGCTGGCGACCAACAAATCCAAATCGGTGGTGCTTCCCTTAGGAGCTAACTTGGGAGCGCAGGACGACAGCGGCGGCAGCTTTAAATGGGCTGATGCAGACGATGCGGAGAAACCGCTGGGGGTATGGGTGTCGCCTTCCGGCAACGGCGTGAAACCCTGGGAAAAGGCCCTGGGTCACATCACGGAGAAATTGGTCAAGTGGAAGCAGAAGTACCTCACCATATCAGCCAGAGCGACGGTCATTACCTACTATATTGTCCCGATCGTGGCCTTTCAGGCGCAGATTTATCCACCGCCTGCTGACACGTGGGATGATGTCACTCGCCTCATTCATGGCTTTGTCTCGGGTAACAGAGTCTCGACGGCGAAAGGCTTCATTCTTTGGAGCAAGATCCTGCTGTACACATCCAGGAAGGCCGGGGGGATTGGAGTGAGAGATCCGGATGTTGTGATCTCCTGCCTCGCGGCCAGGAGGGTGGGGCTGTTTATTGAAGAAAAGGATCCGGTTAAGCGTGACATCATGTATAAGGCGGCGGACTTACCTCTGGGGGTTGACAGCTTCGCCTCACATGAGAAGCTGTTAAAGCACTGGGACGGCCGGAGCATCCGCTGGAAGCAGACCTGCGAGTGTTTCATCCGCTCCCCTCTTTGCATCCGGCCGGCTGCGGTAAAAAGGGAGGAAGTGCTGCATGAAAGGGTGGTTTTCAACGCGCGTATTCTGCTCAACGGGTCCACCCCGGTCGGAGGGCAGAAGGATGCGAAGCAGTTGCGAGAGCTCCGGCTGGGAGACCTGCTAGAGGAGGGGGTTGATGGCGAGTTGAGGTCGCTATCCATGGAGGAGTTGACTCAGAGGCTAGGGGGGAGCGGTCCTGCGAGGCTAGCAACGAAGGCATTGGGCGCTATTCCTGCGCTGTGGCTCCGTGTGCTGGGGTTTCCGACGGTGCTCCCTTGCTCGGCTGGCTCTGGAGGGAAGCTGAACATTTTTTCGAACGGGCAGTTAATTCCTTTTCGGCGGATGAGGGAGGCTTGGACGGAAGTTCACATCCAGTCATACAAGCAGCAGAAGTGGGCAGAACGGTGGAACGGGCAGATTGATTGGAAACGGGTGATCCGGACGCGTGACTCGCTGGCGGTCCCCAGCCGTCCATGCGATGTGCTCATCCGGATCCACGGCCTCAATTTACAGGTGGGGGAGCGGCTGGCCTTCCTCAGCAGCAAGGCCATCTGCCCATACTGCGGGGAGCCTGAGACCTTGGAGCACTGCCTCGTTGAGTGCCCTGTCAAATTATATATATATGCTTGTTTAGGTTATCTAGGCTGTATGGGGGTTAGCACTAGGGGGTACACAAACTTTCTCGATACCCTAGTCTTGTACCCTAGCCTTCACCTAATTCACTCATTCTTGCCTTAGGTTCTTAACATGCCCTCGCATCCAGGCTGTCATCACAGCTCTCCGACGTGCCTTGTGCATGTTCAACCCCAACCGTGCAACGGCCACGTTGGGCGACCTCCTGTTCCGGAAAACCAGCACCAGCTCAGCTTTTCCGGAGCTGACCATCACGGCAACCACTTTTCACCAACTGTGGTTGGAGCGCTGCGATGCCGTGTTTCGGGGCGGGAAATTCCGAACGCAACGGCTGCTGCACAAGATCGAGTTCGCTTTCAAGCAACATGCAAAAATTTACCTTCGCAAGTTCGGGGTGACGTGGCGCAAGCAGAAGCAGAAGGGTCTGTCAGAGGAACAGAAGCTGCTGAAGAAGATAAGGCATGATGGCAGTGGGTTGGAAATGGACAAATGCTTTTGCGGAGATCTGGTCCAATAGGAGGGCTCGGCTCTCAGTCTCTCGGCTGGGGCGGTAGTTTCGTCTACTGTTCCTTAAGCACGGTTACTGTTAAGAAATGAGGAATGAATGAACTAGCAAGAAGGTGGGTACAAGTAGGAAACCTAGAAATGTTGTACCCTATAGTGTCCACCCCACTACAGCCTAGATGGACCATAGCATATAAGTTTGACACACCCCCATAGGCAAAGTGGGGGAGAACAAGAGGTCAGAAGACCAGTCAAGCAAAGCAAAGCAAGCTCAGGGTGGATCACAACGTCACCACACATTCCGAGCACACGTTCAAGGCCACAAGGCCAGTTCACATGCAAGATCATATATATCAAGGTAAACACGCAAGTGCAGGTATAGAAAGATCACAGTACAAGCAAGGTCAAGAAGTGAGCAAGTGAGGCAAGGTAGGTACAAGACCTAACAGAGTACAGAAGCGCTGATGGTCACAAGGCGCAAGTGCCTTGGTGAAGATATCAGCAGTGTTGGCCTCAGAGGCCACGTAAGCAAGACGCAGCTGACCTCGCTGCTGCAGCTCACGAGCAAGGAAGTAGCGAAGAGCGATGTGCTTCGTTCTGTGCTCCAGTCTGTGCTCCCAACACAAGGCCAGCATAGCCTTGTTGTCTACGTACAGAACTGGACGAGAACGAGGCGGCTCTCCTAGGTCAGTCAGCAGGTAGGTGAGCCAGCGTAGCTCCTGTGCAGCCATGGCCCCTGCGTAGATCTCAGCCTCACAACTCGAGCCGAGAACAGAAGACGAGCGGGTAGACCGCCACGAAACAGAGCCGGAACCAAGGCTGAAGGTGTAGCCCTGTGAAGACCGCTGCGTAGCCTGGTCGTCAGCCCAAGAAGCGTCTGCGTGACCAGTGAGGACCACTGGACTCCGCCCTC